CTATAAAGACATAATTATACCATAAAATACGTAAGTAAATGTAAATATCAATAATAATTGTTTAAATATGAACTAGAAAGTAAGAGGTAATAATGAAATAATAATAAAAAAACAAAGGAAAAATATGGAATATAAATTCATTTTAAAATCTTTTTTATAATTCACTAAGCAAACATTTCTTGCGTTATTGGAATTCATTGCAAAGAAGCCGTTTCCACATTTTGTATACCTTCGCTTCAAGAGGCTTTATTGACGTACAAAACAATAATCACCTGTGTCCGACTCCCGCAGACTAAAATTAATGAAATGGAGACAAGTGGACGGTACTACTCGTAGTGTTTACTACATTCGTTTAAGGTATAATATTATATTATGGTTGCAATTTTTTAAAAATAATGTTCCTACTGTGATATACTATAAAATAAAGACGAATTATAAACTCCGTTCATAAAATACTCTGTTTTTTCTTTTATTTACACGTATATTCATTTGTTATAATATGTACTTATGTATCACAAATATTTATTTTTTTTTGCCTGCCTCGTTAGTCTGGTTGTCGTAAATGCGATTGCTGATCACAAGGTCCCCGGTTTTTAAAATATTGCACGCCTCATAATGCGAAGGGTTATAGATGTATTTTAAGCGTCTCCCACACACAAGCGGCTTGGGGAAGCGGCTAACCGCGACCCGCAGCTCCAGCCGCTGTGGTGTGTGGTGTATGCTACGATCGGACGTCAGTCAACCGTGACGATGTCCTTTTATTCTTATTATATTCTGCGTGTGAAGTATCATAAAGTACTGGATAATTTTCCACTGTTTCTATTAAAATCTCTGTGATTAGCTCCATTTTGCTCGCGGTACACGCGGCCTGTTGTAAAAATGTGCAACTGACCGCGCCGTGGCGACCGGCCACCTATAGACGCCGCACGTTCGCTAACAGGCGGAGGGGGTGGAACATGCGGCCGCATTATTTATTCTGTGGCCGCACCGGGTTTGCAGACTCACTTACATTGCAAGCGAATACAACTCTTGACACGTCAAGATCAAGCAATTTTGTGTTCTTAAAATGCCTCTAACAGATAGAGATTTAAATATATAGGTATACTATAGAGCGGACATAGAGAACGTTTTCATACAAAAACTTTGAGCTCGCGCGTGTGTGACGCCCTCTAGCTAAACATAGCAAAACTACGCAGAATATTATTAGGAAGACATTTCAGCTATTCCCCAGTAGGTGTCGCTACTAAATGTAGGGTAAAAGACCCGTTTTAGGAATGTTAGCGTTTCGACATCAAAGTATCGATAATGTTGTTGAAGGTTACTAAGTTTGCAATGCTTTACGATATAATAATAGGGAATATGCATGCTTTTTTATTGTATAAATCTATTTACTATGACTCCCATCACACCAAAAAAAAATCATTTAAACGATTTAAGTTATGAATAACGTCATGCATGAAATGAAATGTCATGCAATATAATATTTAATTTTCTATAACTAAGAATCAATTCAAACAGCAGTCACATTGGTAGCATCTTGGATGACGTCACTAGTGCCCAATTTCACCGACATCCCCTAAACAATCACATAGTTAGACGACCGCTAAGCTAAAAGGTCCCCTAAACCAACCCATAACTAAAATTTGTTTTCACGAACGCAACGGACTTATAGCTAGGGGACCCTTCCTTATGTGACCGATTTTTTACGACGATAGTGCTTGATACCCAGTTGTAGTTACCGGTTTTATCGGAAATGATATATATTAATACAAAAAATACGTATTCATGTATTATTTTAATGAAGAAATTAGTTCTTTCATATTTTGACTGATATATCTTTTCATTTTGTTAATATTTTAATAAAAATATCATATTTTTAGTTTATGTTTGACAAGTCACCGTATTTGACACTCAGCTTTATCTGTGCATTGTAGTGTTGCCAATTTAGCGACTTTGTCCCTAGAAATGACGACTTTTGCTTAAGCCTTAGCGACTAAAAAAAAGTTTTGACGACAAAAATAGTTTAGCGACTTATCTAGCGACTTTTGTAGTAGGTATAAATTAAATCAGTTCTAGAGTCATTATTGGATAAATTTTTAGTCAACTCGATACAGTGCCAAGAGATACAATAAGGAAAACAAACGCACCAAACTTTATTAAATTAAAGTCTCTTTAAAAAACATATTCAAATCAAAACATTTAAATTTTCTTTCAAATCTAAGTTTTACATTAACCTACTTACCTACTTACCTATATCAGATTTTAATTCATAAATACTATTTAATATCGCATGTAGCCGAGTTGGCAACACTGCTCAATAGCTCGATTCTTTCATTGGTTGGCGGTCGGTCACGGGCACACGGGGGAATCCCCGGACATTATGTTTTGTATACTGCACAATCGGTTTGACATTTTACATCGATCGACTCAGTTGATTGTTTCATAACATCCGGCTCGCTCTCTTTTGAATTAACTTTAAGTAATTATAAAGTGCTTAAACTTGTGTTGTGATACTTGTGATAGCTTAAATCATGGATTTACCTAATAAAAAAAAGCAATACGTTCAAAAATATCGAGATACGTGGGAAGCAGAATCTGAATTTAAGGGATGGCTGAAACCAGTTTTAGGAGACTCATCTAAAGCAAGATGTCAAATATGTGTCACAGAGTTTTATGCTAAATTGAGCGATATTAGAAAACATGCGAAAACTAATAAGCATAAACAAAAATTGGATTTTAAAAAAACACAGGCCACCTTACCCTTTAAAATTGCCCCGAAAACTTTAGTTAGAATATCAAGCAAAGCGGAAGGTGTCCTTTCTTTATTTATTGCAGAACATTGTTCAATTTTAGCTGTTGATCATTTAGGCGAACTGTGTAAAAAGGTGTTTGCCAGTGATGAGGGCGCGCAAAATATGCAATTACATCGTACAAAGTGTACTAACATAATAACTGAGGTATTGGCTCCATATTTTACACAATCATTGGTTGAAGATATAGGTGACCGAAAATATAGTGTACTTATTGATGAATCCACAGATGTTTCAGTTTCAAAAACACTGGGAATCGTTATACGGTATTATAGTGTAAAAAACCAAGCCATTATATCAGCATTTCTAAAGCTCGCTTTAGTAGAATCTGCTGATGCGAAAAATCTGACTGCTGTTCTTGTGAATTCCTTGAAAGATCTTAAAATCCCAATAGCGAATATGATAGGAATTGGTACAGATAATGCTTCTGTGATGGTGGGAGTAAATAATGGTCTCGTCGAAATACTCAAGAAAGAACATGGCTTAAAACATTTGATATTGATTCGCTGCGTTTGTCATTCTCTACAGCTTGCGGTTTCACACGCCTCCGTAAATACTTTACCTAGAAACATAGAGTTTCTTGTACGGGAAACCTACAATTGGTTCTCTATTTCGCCTAAAAGACAAGAAGAATATAAAAAGGTTTATGAGACTATAAATTATGGTAAACAGCCGCTAAAAATTTTGAAAGGCTGTGCAACCCGTTGGCTCTCAATTGAACCAGCTGTTTGTAGGATTCTGGAGCAGTGGGAAGAACTAAAGCTACATTTTTCATTTGCAATGGGTAATGATAATTGCTACACAGCTGATCTTTTGTACAGAATGTATTGTGATGACTCAAATCAACTTTACATGCTTTATCTTAAACAAACTTTAAAAGACGTACAAATAGCACTAAAAGCATTTGAAGGGGAAGACAATGATCCCACAAAACTATTAGATACTCTCGTCTTTCTCATGCAGTCACTTGGAAAAAACATAGTTTTTCCTACATTTGATTTGTTGACAACACCAGTTCCAAACGAATGTATGTACACGAATCCGCACCTTGGCTATACGTTTGAACAGAAAATGTTGGAGTCAAGTTTGTCTCAAGAAAATAAAATTTATTTAAAAAAGAGATGCATCGATTTTAGTCTGAAACTCATAAAGCAGATTCAGCAAAGACTACCAAGCAATGTCACTATCCTGAAAAAAATGTCAATGTTAAATGTTGAAGAAACATTAAAAGTGAATAAAACTAATGCATTAGCCGATGTAGCCAAAGAATTAGGTTTTAGTAACGAGTTTATAGACGGTATGCTGCAAGAATGGCATAATATTAACTTTATAAAGTGGAACAACACTACTAACACTGTTCGATTTTGGATTGAGGTTTTGCAGTATAAAAATGCCGTAGGAGAAAATCCTTTTTCTTTGATTTCACAATTGGCAATCACTATTTTAATACTACCACACTCAAACGCTGAAGTCGAGAGAGTCTTCAGTTCTATGAATATAATAAAAACAAAACAACGCAATAGATTGTCGTTAAAAACTATTAATGCGTTGATCCTGTTGAGAGATCAGTTAAAAAAACAAAATAAAAATTGTGCATCTTTTGAAATACCGTCGGAAGTGCTGCAGCTTATTGGAACGAACAAAAGCTATTCCTTTGCAACAACAAAAAACGTTGAACTGCAACATCCGCTTTTGAGCGACGTTCAACCCTCTACTTCTGCTGCGGCTGTATTAGATGAGCATGAGACTGAAGAATTATTTGACTTATTAAGTGACGATGATGAATATAACTGATTTAATATTTTTATTGTAATTTTGATTATTTTTATTTGTTTATTACAAATGCAAATGCACGTTTCCAAGTATTTTTAATTTATGTGATTGTTACAATGATTATACTCGTATAATTTAATTAAAAGTATTTTTTTATATGTAGGTACCTATGTTCTACACGATGTGTATTTGAATTATAATCTAATTACTTATGTACCTACTTTTAATTTTTTTCACACTCCTATCCCAACCTTTGACACTGCATGCCGGTGGCCTCTTCTGCCTCTCTCATAGAAAATCCTGCGTTCGCTTCTGGTGGAATTAGTTTTAGCGACTTTCTAGCGACTTTTGATGTTGAGTCTAGCGACTCGAACTTCTAGGGGTTGGCAACACTGGTGCATTGGCTGTTTGACATTTGTCTCTGCAAGTCACAGCTGCAAGTTTTCGTGGTGTTTTCGTTTGGTATCTCGTATCTAACTTTTTATTTTATAATTATGGCCGAAAATAAAAGCAAGCGGTGTCAAAACTTCACGTTTGATGAAAAGGATAAACTTGTAAAGTTAATGAATACTTTTAAAAATGTTATATTAAATAAAAAGACGGACGGTACAACAAATCAAGCGAAGAATGAAGCGTGGGTGAATTTGTGCACAAGATTTAATTCCACAGGAACCACGGCTAGGTAAGTTATTGATAAAAATAAACCTTTTGTTTAGTACTTGTTATAGTTGTTTTAAAGTTAAGTTGCCTTTACATCCAAACTTTATAGCTGTAAATAGTTATTGTCATAATAATTATTATCTTGATTTTGTATAATATGTAATGTGTGTATTAAAGAGTTTCTATTTACTTACTTGAATGAGAAGTTACCTACCTAATACCTGTATTCTCAGTACATTAACCTCTTTATCTACTATGATGAACGTACTGAATTGCCTTTTAATAACCTACCACTAACATTTCAGAAGTAAAGAATCTCTTATGAGAGTCTGGGAGAAAATGAAGACTGATGCGAAGTTATACAAAGCACTTAGCAAAAGCAGTCACAATGGCACAGGAGGTGGCCCATCGTGTGTTAAAACAGATATAATTTTGGAACAAGTCAGTGACTTGATGGGCCGAGCATGTAAAGGCATAACTGATGTCCAGGATTCAGATGCTGACAAAATTACTGAAGCCAGTTCATTACCAATACTTGGTGATGAGACAATGGAAATTTTAATATTTCAAAATGAAAATGTTAGTATTTATAGAATTCTCTATTATGTAGGTATATTAAAATTAGAAACTGACTGACAAATAGTCCAAATGCCGTAGTAGAAATCAGGGCAATAAGTTTGTTACATATTATAATATTATATAAAAGTAAGTTATGTATATTATTGTGTTTGTTTAAGGAGATGCTTTCGTTCCTACCAGTGTTTCAATAGAGGGCTAGACAGAGAAACACTACGGGGCGACAACAACAAAATGAACTAAACTGGCAGAATTTTCAATACAAAATTATTTCAGTCATTTGTATAGGTGTCGACCCACTGTATGATTATATTATATTTACACTGTGATTTTTATATTAGAATTTGTTTTGTTACAATTTTAATGCAATACAAGAAATGTGGAATATATTGAAAATAACGATGTTGGGAATAATAATGACATTGCTCCAACACTGTCATCACCAACATCGTCTCAATTTATAAAGTCCACATCTATATGGAAAAGACGACAACCAATAATTAAAGAAAATAAGGATAAAGCTGAAGTTGTTTCAACGTTATGTGGAGGTTTTAAAGATTTGAATTCTAAAAAGGCTTAGAAGAAGAAATAAAATTTAAAAGAGAATTGTACCAGCTGCAGTTAGAAACAGCTAGAAAGGAATTGGAAATTAAAACTGAAGTATGCAACCAATTAAAAGGTATGTGTTTTATTTATTGGTGAAATTACTATATATATTTTACATAATAAATTAGATATTTATAAATTATCAAAATATTGTGTAATTTGATTTCTGCGAAATCCATATGACAAAGAAGGTCTGTCAGAAAATGCCATATTATTTATTTGTCCCCTTGCAATTAGCTCTTCCAGGTTAGGCACATCATCATTATTCACAGGCTGTTGCTCATTTCTTAATATGCATATATTATGGAAGATACAGCAAGCTATAATGACATTAATGGCATTGTTTAAAGCTAAACGAATTCCAACCGCAAGTACTGGAAACCTTCGTTTTAGCACACCATATTGCCGTTCCACCACATTTCGTGTTCTAATGTGGGCCTCATTATATTTTCGTTCTCCACTTGTTGTAGGGTTGAGATAAGGTGTCAAGAGATGAGGCTAAAACAAAAATATTTTTAAGTATTATTGTATATAATAATGTAATTTATATGATGTAAAATATTTCTTTTCTATTCCAGGTCACACCTTAAACTTTCAAAATGTATCAGGAATACCTAAAAATGGTTCTGCAAATAACTAGTTTAAGTATACTTTTTTATTAATTAAATATCCCTTACCCATGCATAATCTTTTTATTAAATAAAAAGTATTTATTTAATCAATATTTTGAGCTCTGTGATGAATGATGTTATTCTTTTTGTTTGTAATTTTTGTAATTCTTTTTGTAACCTACTTAAGTTTTAATCAATATTATATTATTATTCTCCTTATTTTTTCTTTTACCTTTAAGGGATAGCCACTATCCCCAAGTAAATGGCTGTCTCCATACTCCCCTCTTTCAAACTTTCTATAAATATAGCTATTTTGGTAAATTGCTGAGTCATGTGTAGAGCCTGGCCAGCGTGCAACAACATCCTGGACCAACAACTTTGCTGATGCAATTGTTTGGACATTTATGGACATGTAGCCTTTCCTGTTTCTAAATAGTTCAGCATCATCTCCACCTATAGATATAAATAATACTTCATCAGCATTGCTTGATAGACTACTAAGAGAAATGAACTTTTAGTGAAAGGTAGTTAAATAAAAATGAGGAATTTACCTGGTGACTGAATTTTTACATGTGTGCAATCAATACAGCCTAGTACATTAGGGAATCTAGCTATATCATAGAAGTCTATCTTAACTCTGTCTTGGTCTCTGTTTGTATCAGGAAATATAATGAATTCTCGACGTAGGGAAACAATTGCTTGAGACACTCTCTTTACTATCCGGCTGGATGTAGCCAAACTAGTACCACCCATATCAGCCACAGCAAGCAAGTGATTGCCTGTGGCATAATATCTTAAAGCTATTAATAATTGATTTATGGGTGGTATGGAATTGTTCCTGTAAAAAAAATAAACAACTACAAATTAAAATAGGTAGAAACTTAAGTAAGATATACCTCGGGTATCAATTTACCATGGTAGGTAGGTTAGCACCAAACAGGTACCTACGGCCTACCTATACAGGCTCATTTTCTACTCAAAAGTTACTGTTAGGAGAGCAATAAAGTAACCTTTTATGCTTTTACCTTTATTTCGTAGCTAGGTATTATAGGTAATAAGTGAAAATGTAGGAACCCAGGAACCCACACTTTAACTTAAATATTTAATAAACTACAGTTTTAATAACATTATAGACTATTGTACATACATTAAAATTGATAACATATGTAAATAGTTAGGTACTCACCTATTATCAGAAAATTCCAAAATATGTTCAATTTTTTCCAACAAATATATCACTGTTGATTTAGATAACCTATACTTCGGAAAAAATCTATTTCATCGAAATCGTTGAAATAATTTGGTCGTTTTCGATATATTTTAGGTCTTCGACTACGATTTATATCAAATATAGTATCAGTTGTGTCTAAATTATCAAGAAAATCAAATAGATCACAGTCCATCTTGTCCTCTAAAAGTCGCTTTTACTTATGTGAAGGTTTATGGGACCAATAATCCATCTCATAAATTTAGGGGATCGTTTAGTCAGTAACGGACCCTTTAAAAGTGGTGAAACGGAAACTATCCCCTAACTGGCCCCTAAATATGCTAAGGGGTCCCATAAATCTTACGGGTCGTTGGTGAAAGTGGGCATAGGTCTATTAGACGCTATAATAATAGCATATGATTGGTCGGTCAGCGTCGAAGGCACATCGCGAAACGTCAAATCCAATAAGAGAGCAATCTCAATTCGTTTCTTTTACAAAAATACACTTTAAATCTAACATATTTTAGGAAAGCATTGCACTTAAAGGTCGTTACAAAATAAATTATTATACAAATTCACAAGATTGCGCGTTTACAATTCAAAAGAACACCTTTGTCGTATCTCTTCAATTTTGGAGCACTTCCCTTGTTGCCGTAGCCAATAGCGGAATCTTCGGCGTCGACATATCGAATGACCTGCAGTAGCATGGTCACTTGGGAGAGCAAGCTAAATTGGTTTCTAAACAGCTTGGCGTACTCAGTAGTGCGGGACACTACCTTGAACAAAACAGTGACCGTTTGCAACTTTACAAGCGCAGGTTTGGCCTCACATGGAATACTCAACTCATCTCTGGGCTAGGGCTCCCCAGTTTGAGCTCCTTCCACTTGACTGCAGAGCAGAGCGGCTCGAATTGTCGACGACCGAGTTTTCTTTGATTGGCTCCATTTTCTATCATATTTAACACGGGGAGTGCTCTGAGGAATTGTTCGGATTAAATCCAGCCAACAAATTTCACCAACACACATCGTGACAAAACTTACGTTACATCCACATCACGTCACATACATTAGATGCTTGGCTGTCCACTACCGAGCGATTTATTAGGAGTTTTCTTAGGAATCGTTTACCAAGGGCAATTTTTATGGACCGATACGACTTAGGGACCTTCAAGAAACGAGCTTACTCCTTTTTAAAAGGCCGGCAACACATCTGCAATTCTCTTGGTGTTGTAGTACATAATATTAAAATTAAAAGAAGGCTATCATGTTGACTGGTTGTACTGGTTGTACTGGCTCACATAGATGTTTCATGTTAAAACCAACGACCGTGTGCCCTGAGACAGGCCCAGCCGATTTCATTATTATTACCGGTACAGTATCGTTTACAGTTTCACCTCCTTAAATATTGTAGATGATTAAATCGGCATCCGGTATAATATTTTTTATCGATAACAATAATCGATAAACGTTGTTTTTATACGTAGTAGAGCCATGCCGCAGTTATATTAGTAGTATAATTGTAGCACGAATGGGTCGGCTCGACCGGGGAAGGACCACGCTCTCACAGAATAACAGCGTAAAATGGCAGCTTAACACTGCTGTGTTTCGTATGGTGAGTGTAGAGATCCGGAGACCTTTTTTGGTGGAAAAGAGGCATTCCATCTTAGTCCTCACGGGTGACAACGCATCTCCGTTTTGGTTCGCAAACGAGGATAGATGTAGATGTCTATGGGCCACAGTAACCACTTACCATCAAGTGGAATGTGTGCTCGTTTGTCACCCTATCCTATAAAAAAAAACGTCCATCTCTGACACTTTAGTAAATAAATCATGACGTTACTGGATAACAGAGGGCGCTTATTACAATAATGATAATTTTTCTAGAACAATCTTTATTCTTGCGATAATAAACCGAAATCACGTTTAGTTTTTGCTCCATATCAGGACTTATTTTTTATTTATTTCTTTTTTTTTAAAACGTTACGTTACGTTTTTGTTGCTGATGTCCGGTCTATTACTACTATTTAAATGTCTTTGCTCTATCACAATTCACAACCATATTGCAGTTATACCTACGATAATATGAGTATATCAAGCCGTATATCAAGAAAACACACTAATTAAGCCATCTTATATTTTCTAAAAAAAAACATTTTATATTGCAATTTGCAAAAAACGGGTTGAAAAAACATTACGTGGATGTCCGGATGTTGATTTTGTATGTGGTCATGATAACTCACGAAAAAATTGACGTACATGTCGAGACCGGGTTTTTTATTAGCTTCAGAATTACATCAACTGGTTTCCTATTTCATATCAATAGCCCAGTATGCGTAGTTTGTTAATAAAATGATTTTCATCTTTTATAAGAGTGGCGGCGCTGTCGTCGCGCCACAAGCGAAACACATCGAAGCCTAAATCCCACTAACAAAGTTCCGAAGTTAAAGCAGCATATTATATACAATAGCTCCGAACTACCAATCGGAGCGTTGGCCGCTCCCCGGGCAGAACACCTTGCCCGGCGGGAGATCTCCCCTTTTCCTTCCACCCGCTACAGTGGTGACCACCCGACGTGATATGAACCAATAACCTTCGGAAACTACAACTTTCAAACCTTCGTCATCATCCTCAAGTACCCCATTCATTCGCTCCCGAGCAGATATTGTCTGCAGTGCTTCACATTCTGCAAGCCATCTAGCTTTACAAAGGTTCATCGCAGCTCTGGAATAATAATGCTTCCTGTTCCTTCAAGCTACTCTCTGCGCTACAGTGTTCGGCACGGCTCTGAGCCTCTCTGCTCGCCTCTGCTTCACGGTACTCTCGCAGATTACTTGCCTTCTTCTCGACTCACCGCAGACCTACAAGGCAATTCCCTGGCGCTTGCAAAATTCGTCGACATCTAGACTGCACTATCGACCCCCGGTCTGAGCAGGGCGGTGATGTGGCGGCGCTGTCGTCGCGCCACAAGCGAAACACATCGAAGCCTAAATCGCACTAACAAAGTTCCGAAGTTAAAAGCAGCATATATAGAATAGCTCCGAACCACCGATCGGAGCGTTGGCCGCAGAACACCTTGCCCGGCGGGAGATCTCCCCTTTTCCTTCCACCCGCTACATAAGTATTATTGCTATTAAAAATGTAAAAGCGCTGTAATATGTTGCTTTTATCATTTGATAGACAAAGGACAAATGTACCATACAGCCTATGTCGATTTTATACTTTGTGTAATCGATTTATTTTGGTAAACATTATTAATTTTTTTTCTCTGCTAAATTTAATACACGCAAGTAATATATTTTAAAAGTCAGGAATACAATTTATTTTTTTTCATCAAAATTAAATGAAACGCTCATGAGGCGTGCACATTTGGATTTTCCAAACTATTGTTAACACTTCGTATTTTTTTTTAAATTTTTTTTTAAGTTTTGTAAAAGCTTTTAACTTGGTATTTTATATAATTCGTTAAAGCAATCGCCAAAAGACGAATATAATTGAAAAACTTCTAGGCTATTATATAAAAAAAAAAAACGAATTTGTAAGGGTATCTTAATCGTTTTAAAATTAATGACAAGTTGAAGTCCTGTCTCTTGTAAGGATGGGAATTTAAATAAGTGAAAAGCGAAATATAATAACAACATATTATTACGTTTTATTCACTCAACGGCACCTTTCAACTAAAAGATAGATAAAATTCCAACAACTTCTGCGTGAGAAGCCCATGTATATACGTGACGGGGTCATACTTAAGCCAATTTCTTTTGCTATTCCTACTCACGTCTTATAATATTGATGAACAAAAGACAGACACAGGCTAGGGAAAAACGACCAAGAAATTTCATCCTATCATCAGCACCATGGCAATGCTTCGGCGCACACCGCGAACAAGACAAAGTTATTTTTGGCTTCTGAAAAGGTGGAGTGACTTATCGCGCACACAGTCCAGAACTTGCACCATACGATTTATTTATTATCCCAAAAATCAAACATTTGATGAGAGGTTTGACATTTAGAGACTATGATAGCTTTTAAAATATGGCCTCAGACCAATGGTCCTTATATTTCCAAAAATGGTTTGAAGGAATGAAAAAGTGCTACAAATATAATGGATAATACTTCGAAAAGCAGTATTTTAGTTAACATATAAATTGGTTTACTTATGAGTTACAAGAAACTTTCAGTGTACCTTACGTATAGGGAAGGGTAGAAAACTGAAAAGAAATTTGCACTGTCATGGGCCGTATTAAGGGCTAAATCAAAATAAAAAAAGAAATAATTATTCTAAATATCCATAAGGTATCATTTAACGATGCCATAAATTATCTCACTGAATCCTCTCAGTGCATTTACTTAATGTTTTATTATCTACATAAAGTAAGGACAACTAAACGAGAAAAAGAATGTTAACAAACTTTCAGGGGTTCATAACATTTTCTCATCTTGTGTTCGATTGTCTTGGTTATTGGAACCAAATTTCTTATCGGGCGGTACAAATTTGGCGGATGGGGGCTAGGCAAGAAAAAGTGTAAGATTTTTCCGTCACGACCCCTTCTGACGTAGTGTGGACGGCCTTGGCGGCTATAAGGAAGCGAGATGGAAGAAATGAAGAAAAGATTGAATGAAATCTATCTTTTTTTTATAGAATTAGGGTGACAAACAAGCACACAGTCCACCTGATGGTAAGTGGTTGCTGTGGCCCATAGACATCTGCATCTATCTTCGTTTGCGAATCAAAATGCAGATGCGTTGTCAGCCTTGAGGACTAAGATAGAATGCCTCTTTTCCAGTAAAATGGGTCTCCGGTTCTCTACACTCACCATACGAAACACAGCAGCATTAAGCTGCTATTTTACGCTGGTATTCTGTGAGAGCGTGGTCCTTCCCCGGTCGAGCCGACCCATTCGTACTACAACTATACTATTAATATAGCTGCAGCATGGCTCTATTATATCTCCCTTGCACATTTTCTTATCTTGCCATGAAAGGAATATTATTTTATTTTAAATATATCATCATTTTAATAGACCTAGAGTCTAATAATTACTACTACTACTACTACTACTACTAATT